TTCCTGTTACAGATGCTGCAAAGACAACTGAGCAGAAAACTGAATCCAGGTAAGTCTTCATTGGAAACAGTCAACTGAATTCTTCCAAGCTTAACAAGGCCGTTCGTGAGCCCCGATGAAGGAAGAGCCTCGATATTTTCCTTCTTTTGGACTGAATTCTTTCCCAAAGACTTTTTCTCCTCTACTAATTTGGAAAACTATACATTTCCGCTCTTTTTAGTGAGACCCTAGAAATTTTAACATGGATATTTATCTTAGTCTAAAAGTATTCTCTTTACTCTCTTTCTCAAACTGTAGGGATTTGAATACTAGGCCACTGACCACTCCCCGCCAGCCCCTTCCCACCTCAAGTTCTTTTGTTTTCCAGCATTTTAGTTCTGTCATGTTACTTTTTAAACTCAGAAGTTAGGCATCATTATTTGTTATACGTAATGTTTGCTTACATTTTAACTATCTCCCTATTACTTCTACTCATTGGTTCTTGTTGGAATTCCTGGAACAAAACACAGTCATTTCATTTAATCTTCAATTTGAAAGTCCGTCTTGGTGCAAAGCTGACCCATATCTGTGTCGTCTTCTTTGGACACAGTTCCTCCTTAGTCATGGATACCTCAATGCTTCAGATTCTTGAGTAGAATTCTGTTATCCCCAGTGTTGATTTTTGAGACTGCAGATCTTAAGTGGCCAAAGTAATTAATTGTGATAATTGCAGTTCTGGGAATGTTACTGACCAGAGTGGTTTTGAGCATAAGCAGGGCTTGGCTGAGGAGGAGAAATTACCCGAGACACATTCCCAAGCCTCAGTGAGCGTGAGCTGCAGAGGAATAATCGTGACCTTGAGAAGCACAGTCCATCTGATGCCCTGTGCTACGGCCGATAGAATTAGTTAAAAGGAATAAAGGGAAACATGGAAATAATTTTGTCACCATTTTTATAGTATAAATAATGCCTGCAAAATGAAATAGATACTGTGTGATTTTGTTTAAATGAAATATAAAAACATGTAAAACTAAACTACAACAGTAGAAGTCAAGACAATTTTTTTAGGGTGCTGTAGGTAGAAACAGGAGGGCATTTTGGGGAGCTAGTGCTATAGGATTTCTGGATCTGGGTGATGGTAACCCAGGTATGTGTTCACTTTGAACATTCATCAAACTGTAAACATATGATCTGTTCATTTTTTGGTACACAAACTATTAGTGAATAAAAGCATATCAAAAAACTAATAGAAACATTAAGATACTGTCTTTAAAGTAACTTTTTAAAAGCAACTATTTCATGCATCAGAGACGTGAACCATAGTGGAGAGGGTTCTTAACCTGTCTTCACACTGCTCTTAGGAATATATGATACAATTGACGTTTAACAATTTGCTTCATTTAAAGTTGGTTTGTCTTATTTTGACAATGGCCATAGTGATTTTTTAAAATTATTTTTATTTATTTATTTTCGGGGAGGGGGTTGGGTTTATTTATTTTAATGGAGGTACTGGGGGACTGAACCCAGAACCTTGTGCACGCAAAATGTGCACTCATACCTTCCCGCCACCGGCCACAGGGAATTTTTAAGAAGCGGTTTTTGTATTTATATTTTATAGAATGGTTTGAGGTCAAACCAACAGTGGGAGAACGAACTCTCGATCACCTTCCTGCCCGAGCTTCTGGGTGCAAATATAAATCAGCGATTTCAAAGGAAAGAGTTGCTCCTGTTTCCAGTAAGTTTTTTAAAAAGATTTTTACTTGTTAAAATTGATTTTTTTTGGTTTTACTTTCTTCATTTCAATTTTCAAAACTAGCTAAAATGTTGGTCCAGGCATCCAGTCTAGAACGGTGTAGCAGGCTGATGTGTGTGCTTTTTCATAGGTGGCGGGGACGCATTGTCGGCTAAGAACCAGTCACAACAGGAGAGGGTCCCAGTCCAGGCTGTCCCCGTCTGCCACCACAGGAGCCAATTCACTTCCAATTTCTCCATAAAAAGGTGAGTCTGAAACAGGGGAGATCCTCTGCCGGAGCTCACGCAGCTGCATGAGGAGTCAGTCCTAAGGCAGAACACCCAGACTTCCCAGCCACTCGCGCTGCAGGAAGCCATGTGTTTAAATCCTGGTAATTCAGAAAGCATTTATACCACAGCAAACTGTAGCCAAAACAAGGACCAAAGTTAGTCTCTGCCTGTTTTTGTATAGCCTGCAAGTTAAGAATGGTTTTTTACATTTTCAAATGGTTGAAAGCCCACATCAAAAGGAAAATGGTATTTCCTGACACATGAAAATTAAAGGAACTTCAAATTCCTGTGTTGATAAGCACAGTGTGTCGGGACGCAGCCCTGCCTGTCCCTTCTGTGCCTTGTCCATGGTGGCGTCTGAGCTACAACAGCAGGACCCAGCAGCTGCCACAGAGACTTTCTGGCCCACAGCGGAGGTTTCCAGACTGAGCGAATGAAAATACAGGCTAATCCAACCAATCATTTTGAAGACATGTTGAGGACATACACTTTTTCTAAACATTCTTCATTTTTTTTTCTCTGAAATTCAAGTTTGAGTGTCCCATATTTGGTCTGATAACCCTCCTCAAAGCCTAAAATATTTCCTGTCAGGCCCTTGATGGGAATGATTTGTGCACCTACAGAGCATGTTTCCTAAAGTGTAAAGGCGGATTTCTTGTGGGGAACAAAGGCCTTTGCTTACATAAGGTTTTGGGAAGCAATGTCAACAGATTGCTTTTTTAAATATATGACTTCACAGAACCTTTAATATGCTAATATGCATTATAAATATTAACGAGGAGAGGTACAGAGTGAAGCATTTTCCAGACTCCATTTGATCACACGTCATTATCACGTAGTTTCATTTCGCCAGTGGCTTGGTAGGACAGCTGTTCCTTGGAGCACACTTTAGCATTCAGACATTAGGCCAGTGCTTCAAAACACCCCTTTAACTCACCACATGTCCGCGGCATGGTACTCAGCAGGACAGAATCTCACAGGAGTGAGTTACAGTGTTTCTGTGGAAAAAAAAAAGTGTTCACAGTTTCACCTTCAGGTTCCGGGAGTCTCCTCTCCTTCATCCTCCCCTTCCACCTGCCTCGAGCTTCCTCCATCAGGGATGTCTGCAGTGACAGTTCCGCAGGGTGGGGGCTGGAGCCTGGCAGTTGGCTGGGACTCGGGAGACGGTGGTGATGGACAGACAGGCGAGGGGAGGAGGCTGCAGGGGGCTCTCCTGGTTCAAGCGCTCATCTCTTCCCCTTGTGGCTAATGGGACCTGGCTAGGGGTGGGAAAGGGCAGGACCCCTGGCTTTGGGACCTGCAAGGAAAAGGTAGAAGTCACATGATGATAATGAGGCACGGCAAGGCTTTTCCTGTGTAACAGACAGAATAAAGCACCGTGTTAAAAAAAAAAACAAAGACGCCTGCTGATAACCAGGTTGCTAGAGTAGTCTTCATTTCTGCTAGCTTTTTGGAAAATTTTCAATTCTCACACGTGAGTTTCAGAAAACCTGTCAGCTATCATTTCAGATCAGGACTCCAAGTAGAATGCGTTCTTGCTTTTACATGTTTAACAACGTATGGACTGCTACAAATAACTCCTCCCTGTTTTATTCTCTGAACCCTCTTTTCTACGATCCCCTCTCACTTTAATGGTCTTTTCCTCTCCTTTTCAGAAACACTGGTGGGCGAAGGGGGTCTTCACTGGACAGGGCAGACCGGGCTGGGGAGGGGCACGCTTTTATCCCTTTACTTCTCTCAAGCCTGTTCCAGACGCTTGGATTGTCTTAATTTAAGCACAGCAGTAATTCATGAAGGGTGCGGATCTGACTTTGGTAATTAAAGGGAGGAGAGCCATTCAGCTAAGCTTTAAATCTTTTTTTTCCCCAAATTTGTCAAAGAGATTCCATTTCCGTTGTTTTTGGTAAGAGCAGAGTGATGAAGGAGGTCAGCTAACAACTGGAAGTAATGGGCAAGGGAGAGGCAAGAACTAGACTGCAGGAACTTAACCCAACTTACCGTCTAAGATTGTGCAAAATGGCACTGAAATCACAGGCTGTTCATCTGAAAAGCTTCTAGTTATGAAATAAGGTGGTGAAAATTAATTGTAAGACAGGCTGTAACCTTTGTTCTTTTTTTAAACACTTACATTCCTCTCTTTGTTTACCTCAGTTTTGCATCTACAGAATAATGGGCCAAAGGAATGTCCATTTCTCAGTGGTCACCGGCCCCTCAAATTAGAACTGGGAGTCCTGAAGACACTGAGTGGTCAGCTTGGATGCCTCAGCCAGAATTCCAGAAACCAAACTATGAATTATGTATATTTGCCAAATCTAAGCACTGTTAAAATCATGGCACTGTTGCCTCAGCTGCTTTCTGGAGCAACATCTAAAAATAGTTGAGTCATATTCGGTGTCAGATGCACCGAAATAAGCCTTGGGTATTTTTAGGCTCTGCTGATGACTTTCAGAGGTTGGGGGCATCCAGGTTTTTTATTTCCGACTACTATAATGCATGCTTTAGACATTCTGTTTACCACGCACTTAGATTAACCTGTGCTCAGCCTACTGCCAATCAGTCTGCATGAGTTTATAGGTTAGAAACATTGATGGCTGTGTAAATATTTAATAACCACAAGTGGATTTTAATTTTGCTTATTTAAATCTTCCACCAAATACAGTTAATGGTGGCAATCCAGTTAGAGAAATTCATGGGAAGTGACCTTGAAAACATTCTTTTGACTCTAGGAAACCAATCAGACACATGGAAAAGGAACCTGGATGAGCATCTGTCTAATGGCTTTGAAGAAGTGATGCCACCACCCCCGCCCATCCAAAGGGATACAATCACCCAGCCTCGGATGTATGTCAATAATAAGTAAATGAAAGTGGTGTCTTATCCATAGCTGGGCTGAAGAACATTTTTTCTTTCAATTCAGCAACCATTTATTAAATACCTGTGCCAGGTACTGTTGAAAATACAAAATCACTTTAATTCGTACAGAATGAGCAAACATAATTTCAAAGGTACAGTTAAACCCATAATTCTCATGACGAGTAAGAATTCTTTCTCATAAATTTTGTAGGAACAGTAAGCGGGCTTTGTGATACGTTTTCCTCCCTAGAAAATGAAAAGGGCTCTGCTACTAGTTTGCCAGATAGTATTTATTTACAAGTCATCCTCATTAATAAAAATTTGTTCTGAATGATTATTACTATTACACATTGGCCCATAGAAAATCTTGCCCACCTCCTTAAATACCTTTAATTAAGCCAGTTTTAAAAAACAGGTGTCCATCCTGTTGACACTGAGTTGTGGAGAAGGAAAATCGTGCTTGGAATTTCATTCTGGTGTTTAGCAGTCCAACTAGTTAGGTTAAGACTCCTACTGGGTGTTGCTATGCCCCCGTGTTCTTACTGAAGGGGAACAAAAGCAGCGTGATGTCCTGAAAGACTGCTTATCTTTCATATATTCTTGATAACTTTATGTTCCTATCTGGAAAATTTTCTTCAAGTGGAATTAGTCATGTTTTTCTGCCATCTCATTACCAGTGCCATTTGACTTCCAAGATGAGTATTACTGCTCCGGAATCCCATGACATGCTTGTCAATTTCCAGCAAAACTCTATTAGTTTTTCTGCATTTTTGAAGGGTAGACAGTTTTATTAGAATTTCTATCTCCAGAGAGTTTCTTGTTTAATCTTACACTTTTGGATGGAGTATTTAGTAAAAGAAATTGAAGAGAGCCTGACGAAATAGATGACTTCTTGGGAATGTGTTGAGGAATGTATGAGAGTAACTTTTAAACCATAAAATATAGTTCCTTAGGAAAGGGTCTTGGACATAAGTCTTCTGGAGCTCAGCTGGGGTAACATCCAGAGAGAGTTATCTATGATGGTATACAGTATTTAAATTCAACATTAAAGTACTTTTTTCAATTATTTAGGTACCCACGTTTCACAGAGATATGGTATAATAAGTACCTATTAAGAGTTGCCTATAAAGGTATATTCTGCATTAGTGGTACACTAAATACGAAACCCTAAATTTTACAAATAATTGGTGAGGCTTTTACGGTATTGAGAGTGCCTTTTGACTTAAGACCGAAAAAGGGTCAATTCTCCTGTTATAAGGACAACAAAATACAGCCATTGCTCTAATGCAACCATGTTTCTGAACACATCTGGGTGATTTCATGGAAATATATATATATATAGTTCATTAATTTTGACTGGCATAAGAATCATACAGTTTTGCAAGATGTAGCCCATTTTCATGTTGCAGTTTTGTTAGCCATCTGGTAATTTTTACAGGCAAAATATTTTTCCAAAGCTTCATTGTCTGATGAGACTTCTTTCATAAAGGCATATTTCAACTTGCAAAATAATTTGTCCACATTATCAGTAATATGGACATCTTCAAATCATGAAATAAGTTCATGTTATTTGTTGGGTTTCCATGCATATTAAATATAACAGTAGAATTTAATTTATAAATTTTAAAAATTGCTTTGTTTTTCACATTAAGACACATATACAGATGATATATTCAAATGGCATAGTTCGGTGAAGAATTAATGGTAATAATGGTAAAGCAGAGCACACCATTGAAGCCAGAGCAACAGAACTGCATCTGAATCAAATTTAGGTTTTAGACAAACATTGGGTTACACCTCTGTCATCTTCATATGTTAAAGATTTGTAAGTTTTTTAGTACTTTATATATAAAAATATTATTTCCTGCATTCATTAAAAAACAGAAGAATGTTAACACTTACCCACGTATAACCTAAACTCGGTATCTCTGAAGTATTTAAAGAACAATGTAGGGCTTCTTAATCTATTTTAATACAAAAGAAAGAGAAGGACAGTGGGGTTTAGATTGCACTTTTAAGTGAGGAGACTTCAGCTCATATGTGCCAATTAATAATCCCCTCACCTAAAATGAAATCCGAGTGACACATATCACTAAGGGGTAAAAGAGTACTTCTCAGATACACCTTATATTAGCCATGGCCTCTCTGAGTTGCATACATCTCTTCTATAATATCATCACTATTTTTTTTTATAAAATAGAATTTAAGCCTAAAACGTTTTTTAATGGAGTTAGAAGTGGTCAGTGTGAAACAGGTCCATAATATATGTTGTCTTCTGTTTTAAGAAGCTTACTGAAGAAAACTTTAAAAATATTTTAAGTGCAACAAGTTTAAAGATAATAAAAAAAAATCACAGTCATTCTAGTTATATGAGCTCACTCCTTAGACAAAAACATGTTTGTTACAAATTGTGTAAAACAACTTGAGTATCAAAGTGCTGCTCTCCTGGTCACATTCATTTCATGAATTTCGAAGTCAGAATTCCAGTACAATTGAAATACTTGTACTCATGCCTCAGCTTTTTGTTTTTACAGATTTACTCTTTTAATAAATATTTTAAAAACCTAAAGTTACATAATATACCCTAAATTTCAACTAATGTCCTGTTTCTGATTTGAAACTGATTTTCATCAAATAAGTTGTTTATTATATTAGAGAGTTCATATAAGTTGATTATATTATATAAATATTAAGTATATTAATCAAAATTAATATTCATAAACACCAAATATCTTTTCAAATGGTCAACTATAATCAAATAGAAATTCTCCTGTGGACGTGACTGCACTTTGTGGTTTTCACTGCCCATGTCTTTCATACTTGCATAACCTGTTCCTTTATAATTGGACGTTTGAGTTTCCAGTACAAACCTTGGGAATGCTTTCTTTTTAAAAAATTACACTCAAAAATATTTTGACTGTGCATCCATCTATTGATAAATATATTAGACTTATAACTGAAAACTTTGGTTAAATATGCGCTAAAATGAATGGTTTACCCGGCATTTTACAGAGGACAACATAGGTGTCTGCTAACTTGAAGGCGAGTTGTACGTGTCTCACACTTCGATACTTCGAGATGCTCAGCCCTCTAGATGTTCTTTCAGTGCTCACTGCATGCCAAGCACGGTACAAGGTGTTACACTATTTTATGTTTCAATGTTTCAACAAAAAACTACGTGGTACCTTTTATCCTTTGTGAAACTTTTATATGTGCTTTTAGATTTGTCAGTCCTTTATACTTTAAATATTACCTTCCTCCAAATATAGCTATTATGTTTGATAAAGGAGACACCTATTTTTTTCCTTGAAATTCTATAAATATTTTACTCTTTGAAGTTAATGAATAAATCAAGTGTGAGTCCCTACCTCCCCCGCTCTTCCTCCGGACCTTTGGCCCTTGGACAACACAGGTTAAGGTCATACTAACCCATAAAGGTCTTTAAAAAAAAAATTAAGTGTGGAGAAAAACCTTCTATTAAAATGGGTTGAGTCGTATTCCAGTCCCCAGAGGCGAGAATGGGTTCACCTTCGCCCACATCAAAGCATCATTCAAGGAGATGGTGGATTTCCCGTCTTCAAGAAAAAATACAGGGCCCTGCGCCGTGAGAGTTGAGGGAAGAGAAGATGAGGTTATAAATCTGCAATTTGTTTTTAAACACTCAGAAACCGAACCACTCTAATAAAAAACCACTAGCGGTATTTAGGCAATGCTGATAGGAAATTTCAAAATATGAGAAAAATTAGATTTTTTTGAATTGCCACCAAATAGAGAAACATTTTAAAATATCTTAAAGTTATGCCCCGATCTCTTTCAAAATAGAATTTAGTTTTATAATTTGAATTCTTTGATTACAGTAGTGCTGTCAATGACAATGGGGACTGTTAATCTGTTCACTGCTATCAAGTCAGCATTTTATAAAGGCACATATGCCTAAGGAGTAGGCTTAAATACACTTCACTCTTTTAATCCTACAGCCTATATCAGTACAGCCGGGGACATTATTTAAGACAGAAACTCAAACTGCTCTCCAGAAGATGAAAAATATATGCTGTATATATGTATATGTAACTTAAAGTCACATCAACCCTGTGATATTTATATTTATAATTTAGTTACATCAGCTGTTTTGTATGCTAAGGGTGGTAATTCTGAGGAACTAAATCAAATACTCCTTTCAGGTGGCATCTCCTGGCTCTCAGAAGGAAAAGCATGATTTGAAAAACACAAAAGAGAATAAAAACTTATTTTCTTAATTGAGTTCTGAGGTTATCAGGTTTTCGATCATTATCTCAAATGACACAGCTTGTCGTTAGCAAATGATGTCTAGATACCAGACAATCCATTCTACGAAGTAGCCTGCTTCTCATGCATAGGTACTTGAAGTTTCAGTTGTAACCAGAACACAAGAGTTTTCTGCTGGACTAGAAATATCCTGGGAGGGTGACTGAGTTAGTCACTGGCACCGTGGTGTATAATTAGCAGGTTCTTGCCTAAGAGGGGTTTGGGTGCAGAGCGGTTAGACAGCCTGTGGATTGGGGCGTTTGTCTACCTCAGATGGAGATAAACAGCCCTGAAGAGATAAGAACAGGAAGGTGTCACGTCCTAGAAGTGGTCCCTGGAGGGTGCGGGGTCGCACGAAGCTGCGTAATGGTTCTGCTCTTATTATAAGTTATTGAATTTACTGCTTTGGTTCTTTATCTCTGAATGTAAGTGGATAGTAAGTATATTTACAACTATGTGTCCCGTCTGGTTTTTGGGTTCTGAAGACTTAATTAGTTTTCAGGGTCAAGTGGAGCTACAGTTAGCGTTCACATCAGTAGCAAGCTATTTAATTTATTTTGAGAGTTTATCCGCTAAAATACCTTTCTCCAATGACCTTTAAGAAATGTAATTAGCTACGTTACATTAGAGGTACAAGAATCCACTTAGTAACATGTGAATATGCCTGGGAGGCGGAGTTCTTTCCGTCCAACCTAGTCTCAGTCAGCATTTCACGGGGATTCTTGGGGACACTCCTACAACCGGTCCTGGCTCTGGGATGAGGAGGGCGTCTCCATTTTCTGGAAACAATGGCACCCCTGGGTAACACTGGGAGGTCCTGGCACCGTTCACCATCATCGATTTGATGGTATATTAGGGACCATTCTTTGGGAATCAGCCATCTTTTATGATTGATTCCAGTAATTTTTAATTGCTGAAAAGTTCAGTAAGTCGATGTAAGAATATGCATAATATATCAACAACACACTATACATCTATCAGTTTTTAACTGCTTTCTTTGTGCTTATAAAACACAAATGGGGACTATACAGTGAATTTCCTGAGATACACTCATTTGTAGCTGTGCTGACTGTTCCTTTGTCTCTTACTTAATTTCCCTAAGGATATCATCTCTATTTTAAAACATTTGTTACTAAGCACACATATCACTTATTACTAAGTATACCTGTTACGGGAGTTGCTTTTATGATGACAGATAACAATGACTATGTCTCTGAATTCACTTTAAGGAGGGAGACCATTTATACTAAATATGGAAGCATTAAGGGCAGCTTTTTCTCACTGGCCTCGGGTCTTTTTATGGGTACCGACTTTTATTCAGATTATTCTTATTTTAAGATCGCATTTCAAAAAATAATGAAACAAATGAAAACGACGGACATGAACAATTTATGCCTGGCATCGGGCTGTACCTGGATTTTCGATCCCGTGAGGCAGGAGATGTGAGTGTCGGAATGACTGGGAAGATTTGATCCAGTCACATAATCTGGCCCAACAGTTCCTCTGAGTGGTTCTTCTTTTAGCCTCTTCAGTAAAGTTGCATAAACCATTCTTTGTGACTCAGAAGGGGGTGTACATGGAGATTCTTCTGATGATCTATATTTTCAACAAATATTATTTTATTTTTGTAGAATGACAGAATTGTTAAGGGGTAGACTACAACCAGTCCCTGATGATGATTCAGTCCTCCTTTTTACACGGTGGTAAATCCACTTTAGACTTGACTTATAGTAAAACGAAGGACTTGAAAAAAGCAGGAGAGAACAGCCCTGTAAATTATTACTGAATGTATGGTATACAAACCAAGATTCACTATTCTGCCAAGATGTTTAATAAGAAAATCCACATTTTCAATATCTGTCTATAGTATTAAGTGATTCCTTCTGTATTCCAATTTTTATATCATGTTTACTCACCGGTTGATGGACTGTGTGCAAGCTCTCCACGCATCCAACTCCTCAGAAAGGTGTTCAATTTTTAAAGGCACCGACACTTTCCGACGTTTTAATAGCTGACTGAAAGATGTGAAAAAAGAAATGGACACCTGACATCCAAGACGAAGGTATCAAAAAAGCGAATGAGCTTTCACTAACTACAGTTTTAGATTTAACAACGTTGTTGGCAAATCCATGTGTATATACCAATATATACGCATGTGTGTGTGTACTTATATATTTAGTCTTTAAGTCCCCGGCAAGTCAAAGATGCTCAGTAAATCCTGGTTGGATGACAGGCGCAGTGAGTGAGCACATGGGTGAGTGAAGTGGGTGATGTGCAGGGAAAGGCTGGGCTGGTCGGGTGACGCTGAGTGATACCCACATCCCGCGACTGTGTGGTGTGGTACAGGGCGTCTCCGTGTTAGAAACGAGTGTCAGGAGTAAGAAAACAGGA